GCTTTGACATGATTTTGGGTAAGACGTTTAGTGAGTTTTAGGATGCATTTTGAGGTTCAATAAGTTTTAATAGAATTTTTTAGCTTGGATTTGTGTTCTAATCACATTTTTGCATTTGATTTTTATGGGTCTCATCTTAAGTCATCAATTTTGGTATTTTATTTTACTCTCTTTCAGAAATTTTCAGTCCTTCTAATTAAGTCCCTCTTGCATTAATTGCTTTGTACATGGTTGGTTTGTCTATGTAAATACTTTAGTTGACTCAATTTAGTGTTTAACTTTCATTTTTCATATTTAATTTTTGTTTCATGTGATTATTTGATAATTTAAGTGGTACCTTGACCTTTTTATTATTTTGGAGGGTAAGTTAGTGATTTCACTTCATTGGGGCCCAATTGCAAAGGGAGGTAACCTCTATCTCCTTGATTTTCATTTCTCCTATGTGATCCAACGTGCTAAGTGTGAATTGCATGTCTACGTTGCTTTCCTTGCATTTCTTTAATTCCTTTCATTTATTTCATTTACTTTTGCCTTTTATTTAAGTATTTCATTATGGGGTATGTGTACACCTCTTGGCTTGTAATAGATAGGGCTTGGAGGAGCATTCGATGAAGACCTGTTGAAGACATGTGCCTAGCTAGCAAATGTAATAGTTAGGGCTTCAATTGCTTTATGTGTCTTGCATGCTTAGTTGCTATGTGTTAATTTGCTTTATTAGGTTCTTGCATCTAGTCGAGCATGCTAATTGTTATGTGCTATGTGTTTATGGGTGTTTGGCATGTCTAATCGCTTTCCATAGCCATGAATGAATGTGATGGATGAATGTACGTCACCACACTAGTCCAATGCTAGTTGTGGCTCATTATTTCATTAGGAATTCATAGAAAGAGCTAGTCCAACGCTAGACCCAATAGGCCATCCCCTTTTGTTAGTGCATATTTGCATGTTCACTACATGTCATGCATTTTTCTTAGTTTTATCATTGGCATGCTCCTCGAACCCCTTTTTCCCCTCATTTTTAGGTTTTGCATCTCATACTAGTTATAGGGCTCATTTGCTTGAGAGTCCCCTTTCGATAAGGGAAACGAGCGAGTGTGGCTACTCGATAGCCTTAGCACGCTAGTTTTGCCTTCTAATCAAAGGGAAGATTAAGTCACAAAGTTAGGACTCCCCGTTCCCGTCTTGATGCATTCCTATAGGATTCATGCATTCTATTCATTCACTATCACATACACTTACTTTATATTCTAACCATTTTTCCACATTCTCACTTCACACTACTTTTGGACGTTTTCACTTAACTACTCACACTTTACACTTTTATTTGCACACGTGCACCTTTATATCCCTTCACTTGCACACGAACACTTTTTATCTTCATTTGCACACCTCCACTTACATCCTATTATTTTTATCATTTTTCTCATTTCACACAAACTCACACTTTCACATGGCATGCATTCCACTCATTTTTACGTCATTTAGGATTACGTGTGACCTCTCCAAAGGCTCATTAGTGGGCTTCGCAATTAATGTGATTGGCACCACTCAACCTTTGAAGAGAAATTTCCCCCATGTCCCCCTAGGTCTAGGTTTTTGCATTCATATAGACATATCCAACACGCGATACATACCTTGGGTAGAAAAATTAGGAAAAATTGGTTTAAGTCACGCAACTAGCCTTGGCTAGGTCGAAGGGGTGCCTTGGATTTTTATCCTTGCCTTCCCCTTCGTCAAATGTGACCCCCGATCCCTCTTTTTGGTTACGTAGACCCAAAAGTTCTTTAAAAGGGTTTATTTACTTTTTTTTATTCAAAAACAAAAAATCATTTTTTGGGTGACTTGGTACACCCTAACCCTATACCAAGTGGCGACTCCATTTTTGATACAAAAAACCCTTTTTGAACTTTATATGGCCAAACCGTCGCATTATCAAGTCCCATGGCCTTTTACTTTTCATTTACACACGTTCACATTCCATTACACCACTCACATCTCACACCACACAACACATCATCACACATCATATCAAAAAGTGGGGCGCGACACTTTTGATGCTCACAAATCTTTGTTCTAAGGGATAATTGCATAAACCTCCCCTGACTTTTATAGTAATAGCATTGATCTCCTCTATCAATTTTGAAATAGCACTGACCTCCCCTATCTAAAGTTGGAGGCAATTAAATAGGCAAAAGTGGATCAATTTACCAAAGTACCCCTGACATGATTTAATTTTACCAAATGAATGTGATGAGTACTTTCATCAAACCCAACAAAACATTTGTTAATAAAAATTACACTAAATTAACTATTTCTGCATAGTTTAACTAATTAACTAATTAACTAAATAACTAATAATCTAATTAACTAATAACTAATTATCTAATTAACTATTAACTAATTAACTAATTGTTAATAGTTATTAACTAATCAAACTATTTCTGCATAATTAAACTAATTAACTATTAACTAATTATCTAATTAACTATTAACTAATTAACTAATTAAATAATTATCTAATTAACTAATTTCTGTTTATCTAATTAACTAATCTCTATTTATCTAATTAACTAAAGCTGTTGTCTATCCGAAACTAATAAACTATTTGCATGTTAAACTAATTAGCTGCTTAACTAATTAACTACCTAATTATCTAATTAATTAATTAACTAATTAACTAATTTTTGTTTATCTAATTAACTAATTAACTAATTATCTAATTAACTAAAGTTTATCTAATTAACTATTTAACTAAAGCTGTTGTCTATCCGAAACTAACAAACTATTTGTATGTTAAACTAATTAACTAACTAACTGCTTAACTAATTAACTAACTAATTATCCAATTAATTAGTTAACTAATTTTTGTTTATCTAATTAACTAATTAACTAAAGCTGTTGTCTATCCGAAACTAACAAACTATTTGTATGTTAAACTAATTAACTAACTAACTGCTTAACTAATTAACTAACTAATTATCCAATTAATTAGTTAACTAATTTTTGTTTATCTAATTAACTAATTAACTAAAGCTGTTGTCTATCCGAAACTAACAAACTATTTGTATGTTAAACTAATTAACTAACTAACTGCTTAACTAATTAACTAACTAATTATCCAATTAATTAGTTAACTAATTTTTGTTTATCTAATTAACTAATTAACTAAAGCTGTTGTCTATCCGAAACTAACAAACTATTTGTATGTTAAACTAATTAACTAATTAACTGCTTAACTAATTAACTAACTAATTATCCAATTAATTAATTAACTAATTTTTGTTTATCTAATTAACTAATTAACTAATTAACTAAAGCTGTTGTCTATCCGAAACTAACAAACTATTTATATGTTAAACTAATTAACTAATTAACTAATTAACTAACTAATTATCTAATTAATTAATTAACTAATTAACTAATTTCTATTTATCTAATTAACTAAAGCTATTGTCTGTCCGGAACTAACAAACTATTTGCATGTTAAACTAATTAACTAATTAACTGCTTAACTAATTAACTAATTAACAAACTATTTGCATGTTAAACTATATGCAGTACGCATCACCTATTTAAAGTATCGGCTCTTTATAGGTATTTTACTTTCAAACATTTAATTTATGATAAAAATATCAATGTTTGTAAGTAAAATTCAAAAAGTGTTACAAAAAATATCAATATTCTTAATTTCAAACATTTAATTTATGGCCCTATACCCCTCCCTTTTTGTAAGAATATTATTGTAAAACTTTTTGAATTTTACTTACAAACATTGATGTTTTTATCATAAATTAAATGTTTGAAAGTAAAATACCCATAAAGATCCGATACTTTAAATAGGTAATGCGTACTGCATATAGTTTAATATGCAAATAGTTTGTTAATTAGTTAATTAGTTAAGCAGTTAATTAGTTAATTAGTTTAACATGTAAATAGTTTGTTAGTTTCGGACAGACAATAGTTTTAGTTAATTAGTTAATTAGATAAATAGAAATTAGTTAATTAATTAATTAGTTAGTTAGTTAATAATTAATCAAATGATTAATTAATAGTTAATTAGTTTAATTATTAAATAATTAGATAATTAGTTAAGCAATTGTCAAGCAAATAATAATTGTCAAGCAAGAAGAGGGCAAAATTGGAAGAAATTTCTTATCTCACTTCTACAAAAGCTGTGAGGGAGGTTTCTGCAACAAATTGTTACTGTTCAGGGGAGGTGAATGCAATTTCTAAACCTAGAGGGGAGGTCAGTGCAAATGTCAGAAATCTCAGGGGAGGTTTCTGCAATTATCCCTTGTTCTAAAACATTTTCGCGCCACTAAATTCCAGCCTAAGAAAGCCGCCTCTAGTGGCTATATTGGCGGCTATTGGCAGAGCAGCACTTCCTACCCTTTTTTCGAAGTAAACTAAATAGCGGACGGAGCAAGTGCGGCTGAGATTTTTCTATAATTGTCCCAGTTTATATATTTTATATGATTTAGTATATACTTTTTTTTTTCAACAGCCGAAATCAGACTTTTGTTGAATTGTAAACCTAATCCCAGAACCAATACCAAAAGCCGGCAACTCTTGGCATGATACCAGGGACTTATAACCCAACCCAAACCCAACCCCAACCCCGATGTGGGATAATGTCAGGACCAAAGACACTATCACTTGGTCGTTTGGTATAGTGATTCTTGCGTTTAGCTAATAAGTTGTAATACGGCACCGTTCTACTTAAATGGCGGTGAATGTAATTGGCGCGCATAATCTGTTGGGATTAAATTGCATAAATAGTCCCTCTACAGTTGTAATACGGTTATGTTGAGTAAATGCAGAGAATATCTTTCTCTTTCCTTTATGTTATTTTCTCTCTCTTCTTCTTCTTGTTCTCTCTGATCCCTTCTTGTTCTTCCTACCTTCATGCCCTCTGAAACCAATCCCAATTCCAGAAATTAGCTCACGAACCTGACATTTGGTATCAGAGCGGTCGATCCTTGGCCGCGAAGATATCTAATATGGCGGAGAGCACTCGATTTAGGAGTCTGGAAGATCAACTCAAGAAACAGGAAAGTAAGCTGCAGGAATTGATGGAATCTGTAGCAACAATGCAGAATTCAAGTATGGAGGAGCTGCAGCAGAAACTTCATACCGACATTGATCAGAATAATGCGAAATTGGAGGCAATGGTGGGGAATCTGGACCAGAGATTCAATGCGATGGAGCAGAGGTTCAGTACGATGATGAAGCTGTTGATGAGGGAGAAAGGCATTTCTGACGGGGACGGAGGAGGAACTGAACCACTCTTGCCGACACCTCCATTGCATCTACGATTGACACCTTCAAACGAAAGGCCAGGGAGTCAACCTGAGATGAGAGGTAGGCAGTTCTTTCCTAATATACCTCGTATGGAGTTGCCAATGTTTAGCTCTGGGAACCCTAGGGAGTGGGTGAGAAAATGTCAAAAATACTTCCTGAATTATCAGATAGCAGAATGTCAGAAAGTAGATGTGGCAGAAATGTTTTTGGAAGGGAAGGCTGACAATTGGTTCCAAGGGGTAAAACTGGTGAAACCTAGACTGTCCTGGGGAGAATTTAGTGAACTCTTGTGTGAGAGATTTTCTGGAAGGAACTCACGTGACATAGTGGAGGAGTTTAATAAGTTACATCAGAAAGGCACTATTGAAGATTATGAGGAGAAATTTGAAGAATTAAAAACACTCATGCTGACGAGAAATCCTAGATTGGATGAGTCTTACTTTGTTTCCAGCTTTATTAGTGGACTCAAGGACGAGATTAAGCCTACGGTGAAGATGTTCAAACCGCAGACACTAATGAAGGCTTTTGAAGTGGCAGAGCTGCAAGAATGCTCACTGGAAATCCAGAGCAAACAAAGTAAGGCCACAGGGAGGGGGACAGTAGAACCAAGATTTGGAATATACAAGAATTCCACACAGGACCAGGCTCGCCAACAATCATACAGGTTACCAGCTATCATCCCTGCCCCGAGGAAAACTGATTCAATCCATAGAGACCTCAGTAAGATAACAGCTGAGGAGATGCAGTATAGACGTAAGCATGGCTTGTGCTACAGATGTGGGGAGAAATTTGGAGTAGGACACCAGTGCAGGAAGGGAAATCTGAATTGTGCGAACACTGAAGAGGAAGAGGAGGAGGTTGAATTTGAGGATGCTGAAGGAGAGCAAGATGAACTCACTGGAAGGGTGGGGGAATTAGCAGAAGTATCCCTCAATGCATTGTCTGGAGCCATAAAAAGGAAGTCTATCCTGCTGATGGGCAATTTAGGGGGACTTCCAGTCAAGATCTTGGTGGACACAGGAAGCTCTGACAGTTTTATCCACCACAGAGTTGTCAACCTGTTGCATTTGCCATACCACTCAGTCAGCCCTTTCACTGTGACCTTAGCAGATGGGACTGACATCACTAGTGGTGCCATTAGTCCAAATGTAAGCTGGGTGATACAAGACTATCGATTCCAGTTTGATCTGAAAATAATGGAGTTAGGGGGATGGGATATAATACTGGGAGTAGACTGGATGTGCCAATTCAGTCCCATTACTTTTGATTTCCATTCCCTCAGCATTGCACTTAGTGATAAGGGGAGTTTACTGCACTTGCAAGGGTTGGTGAATCAGCCTGCAATGAGGCTAGTGAGGGGCAAGGACCTCAGGTCATTCATACAGGAGAAGCAAACAAGCTGTGCAGCACTGGAGACAGAAGCAACAAGGGGGTCAGAGGATCAGCTTCCAGAATCCATAGGAAGAATCCTGCAACAGCATTCGGAGGTGTTTTCCACTCCTAAAGGCTTACCCCCAGAGAGGGAGCTGGATCATCAGATCAACCTCAAACCAGGTGCTGAGCCTTTTAAACTCAAGCCTTACAGGTACCCCCACTCTCACAAAGCAGAAATTGAAAAACAGGTCACTGAGATGCTCACTAATGGGATTATTATGCACAGCACTAGTCCTTTTGCTTCTCCAGTATTATTAGTTAAAAAGAAGGATAATTCTTGGGGCTCTGTATAGACTATAGGAGACTGAATGAATTAACCGTAAAGGACAAATTTCCTATCCCAAATATAGATGAGCTATTAGATGAGTTGCATGGCACGAAATATATGTCTAAACTAGACCTCAGAGCTGGCTACCATCAGCTAAGAGTCAAAGCAATTGACATCCCCAAAACAGCTTTCCAGACACACCATGGCCACTTTGAATTCTTGGTGATGCCTTTTGGGCTGACAAACGCTCCAGCCACATTTCAGGCATTGATGAACAGAATCTTCCAGCCATACCTGAGGAAGTTCGTGTTGGTTTTCTTCGATGACATCCTGGTGTACAGTCCAACTTTGGAGTCGCATGCACAGCACCTGCAAATTGTACTCAAGGTACTAGCAGAAAATCAGTTATATTGTAAAAGGTCAAAATGTTCTTTTGCTCAAACTTCAATTGAGTACCTGGGGCATATAATATCTGAAGCAGGAGTGAGCATGGACTCTACTAAGATAGAGTGCATCAAGTCATGGCCTGTTCCCAAAACAGTAAAGGAATTGAGGGGCTTTTTGGGATTAACTGGTTACTACAGAAGGTTCATAAAAGGGTACGGGGTGATCAGTAAACCACTTACACTCCTGCTTAAGAAAGAGGGATTCACATGGAACCACAATGCTCAGATGGCTTTTGAAGATTTAAAAAGAGCTATGACCACAGCTCCAGTGTTAAGTATGCCAAACTTTGATCTTCCTTTTGTGATAGAGACGGATGCCTGTGGGGTTGGCATTGGGGCAGTATTAATGCAACAGGGACATCCCTTGGCCTTCCTTAGCAAAGCTTTATCAGCTCAGAATTTGGGGCTGTCAGTGTATGAGAAGGAGCTTTTTGCATTAGTATTAGCTGTGAGCAAATGGAAGCATTACTTAGTTGGCCATCACTTTATTATCAAGACTGACCACCAGGCCCTTAAACATCTGTTGGAGCAAAGACTTACTCACCCTCTGCAACACAAATGGCTAACCAAATTACTTGGATTGGATTATGAAATACAGTACAAGAAGGGATCAGAAAATGGGGTAGCTGATGCCCTGTCCAGAAGGAGAATGGAGGAAACTGACACGGGCAGTGAACAAACTGAGCACCAGGTATGTGCCATCTCCACAGTCCAACCTAGGTGGATGCAGGAGTTGCTAGAAAGTTATACTGGGGATACAGTGGTTCAGCAGAAGCTAGCTGAGCTACTACTGGATTCCCATGCAGACCCAGATTATCAGGTGGAAGGTGGGGTACTCAAGTTCAAAGGGAAACTGTATGTAGGCTCAGCCAATGACATCAGGGTCAGGCTGATCAGGCTCCTGCATGATTCAGCAATTGGGGGTCACTCAGGACAGAGGGGATGTCTGCACAGACTACAGGCTTTGTTCCATTGGCCTGGGTTAAAAAGGGATGTTATCCAATATGTCAGATCCTGTGATGTCTGCCAGAGGAACAAACACGAAAATGTCCCTTATCCTGGTCTACTGCAGCCTATCCCAGTGCCCCAACAAGCGTGGTCACACCTCACCATGGACTTTATTGAGCAACTACCACCATCTCATGGATTTGACACCATACTGGTAGTGGTGGATCGGTTCACCAAGTTCAGTCACTTTATCAAGCTCACTCATCCTTATTCTGCACAGCAGGTGGCTCAGACTTTTCTTGATAATGTGTACAGGTTACATGGCCTACCAGAAATAATTATATCTGACAGGGACAGGATTTTCCTTAGTAACTTCTGGCAGGAGCTATTCAGTTTACTGGGGGTGAATCTACACTATAGTTCAGCATATCATCCCCAGTCAGACGGACAAACGGAAAGAGTCAATCAGTGCTTGGAAAACTACCTCAGATGTATGTGCAGTGACCACCCTTCCCACTGGAGCAGCTGGCTACCTACAGCTGAACTATGGTATAATTCTAACTTCCATACTAGCTTGCAGATAACACCCTTTGAGGCGTTGTATGGTTATAAACCTAGTCACATACCCCTGGGACCCTTCCATGATAGTATCATACCTGCTGCCAGCAATATGGTCCAGTCGAGGCTTCAGGTCATAGCTCTCATCAAAGAGAACTTGGCCAAAGCTCATAATCGCATGAAGGTTTTTGCCGATAAACATCGTTCAGAGAGAGTATTCCAGGAAGGGGATTGGGTATTTCTCAAGCTACAACCATATAGGCAGCAGTAAGTTGCTATTCGTAGAAACTTAAAATTAGCTGCTAAATATTTTGGACCCTTCCAGATTAGTGCGAAGGTGGGAGAGGTAGCATATAAACTCAAATTACCAGAGGGAGCCCGGATCCATCCAGTATTTCATGTTTCATTACTCAAGAGGAAGATAGGACTTGCACAGAGTGTGGATTCCAACCTACCGGAATTGGATGCGACAGACCAATGCTTATTAAGGCCAGAGAAGGTTCTCCAGAGACGGGCAGTAATGAGAGCTGCTCAACCAGTCGTCCAATACTTGGTAAAATGGAACAATTTACCAGAGTCGGAGTCATCCTGGAAGGATAAAAGCTTCATAGACAGCCAATTCCCAGACTTTCAAGCTTGAGGACAAGCTTTTGCTAAGGGGGTGGGACTGTCAGGACCAAAGACACTATCACTTGGTCGTTTGGTATAGTGATTCTTGCGTTTAGCTAATAAGTTGTAATACGGCACCGTTCTACTTAAATGGCGGTGAATGTAATTGGCGCGCATAATCTGTTGGGATTAAATTGCATAAATAGTCCCTCTACAGTTGTAATACGGTTATGTTGAGTAAATGCAGAGAATATCTTTCTCTTTCCTTTCTGTTATTTTATCTCTCTTCTTCTTCTTGTTCTCTCTAATCCCTTCTTGTTCTTCCTACCTTCATGCCCTCTGAAACCAATCCCAATTCCAGAAATTAGCTCACGAACCTGACAGATAAACTACCTATGGAGGGGAACCCGCTACTAAGTGGGATACTACCACCCATTTCCCTTTTACTCCCCAGGCAATTTGTCTTTTTTCAACAGCCGAAATCAGACTTTTGTTGAATTGTAAACCTAATCCCATAACCAATACCAAAAGCCGGCAACTCTTGGCACGATCCCAGGGACTTATAACCCAACCCCAACCCCGATGTGGGATAAACTACCTATGGAGGGGAACCCGCTACTAAGTGGGATACTACCACCCATTTCCCTTTTACTCCCCAGGCAATTTGATTTAGTATATACTAACATTACTTTTTTTGTGTACGTGAAGCATGTTCAAGCATATCAACTCAATATACAAGCATAATCAGGTTTGTAAGTGTACACCAATTTTTAAAAGAAGTACAATAACCCCGCCAATTAGAAGTGTCCATCGGCTGGTAATGGGTAATTTAGTAAATTTTTTTTAAAAAATTATTTTCTACAAGACCAACATCCAATTAATGTCCAAACTTTTATTTGATAATTTGGATATTGATAATTAGATTTTGCCCAGATAATCAATATTCCAGTTATATCTAAATATCATTGAATATAGATTACTTAACTATATTTAACATGTAATTAATAATATGGGGGTTATTAACAAATTAAGTGATATGTATTTAAGGTCATAGAAGCATAAATTATAACGCTATTCGCTAATAAATTAGTATGTAATATAGTATATTAGTTGTTATGTAGTATAAAATGTATTACTAAAATATTATATTTGGTAATTCAACTTGTAATCTGGAATTCAAGAATCAAATTTTAAAATTCATTCCCAACTATTTTACCAAACTTTAAAAATTGGATATAAATTAGTTTTTTTTTCCAAATTTTGTTCCACGGATATCCAATGTTCAATTTTTCTTTTTTCCTGAAGTTTAAACACTCCTAGTACCAATTACACCAAATCTCAAGTGTGCCTGCCTCTATCCCAACTAAATATACCACAAACATCTAATCAGCCAGGGGAATCTGATGGTGTATTCATTCATGAATATAAAGACCACATAGGTTGTTATAATTTGACAAATATTTGGACATTGAAACATATATGTCTCTTCGAATTAAAAAAAAAAGGCCCTATCTCTCACATTCTGATTACAATTTGGTACATTACCAATTGTATTACAAAATAGCTTTACGAACCTTGATGAAATAATAGCCAAGGTGAGCAAGCAACAAAGTGATTGGCAAGTAACAATCAAAACCTTGGTGGAGTTTGGAGTCCTTTAGTTGCACCATAAAATCTTGACAAGAACTCTTGACGTTTGAAAGTGATTCCCACGTCCCTCTTGAATGCGCATTGTATTTATTGGAATTGTATGTGTGGGGTGTGGTAACTTATCCATGCCTTTGAAGTCAAATATCTAAGTGAGGTAGTACTATAGTTGTTTTTTTTTTCTCGGAGAGCTGGGTGTGTTTGATTATCTGAAAATTTTTATTTTGAACTATTTCTCAGCAGTTGAAATGTCTTAAATTTAGCAGATAGAGCAGCTGATGCTCTATGTTCAAATTTCCCAGCTCTTGTTTAGTTGTTGCTTGGGTTTTTCAAAATAACTGAAATTGTCAATTTTCTTGGTTCTTGTTCATGTCTCTGCCATGTCTCTATAGATGGTAACTTCTATAGATTTCTGTATAATATTGGAATGATCTTTTTGAGCATTCCGCAAATAATATACTCAAATAGAATATGCTAATCTGGAAAACCTGATGTTTGAAAAGACTCCGGATGCTATTTAGATTTGTTAGTGCCTCTCAGAAATACGGCCCTTAGCTTTACCTTTGGTTTAGAGATGGCTCGCTGGATTGGTCTATTTTTATCTATTGACTTTTGTTGTGAATTTTTGTAAGTAAAGCTTGGTCTTGTGACTCTTGTCGATTAAGACATAGCTCATTTGATGCCCACTGTCTTGAGTTCATATTTTTTTAATTTTTCCTTGATATCTCTATTTTGCGTTTTGGCCTGTATGTTTGCTTCTAATATCTGATGATTTGGTATCTGTAGGGCAGGAGAAGGGGCAGTGGGATATGGTGTT